GAATATTAGGATGTGCATCAATCGGTTTGGTTCAGTTTTATGTATTATTGGTTGGGTTTATCAGTTTTTGGTTTTTAAATACACTAAATTAATAACTAACCAATAAGATATTCTTTATCGGTTTTCGATTTTTGGTCATTAACGATTCGGTATGCTCATAAAATAAATATATAATTTCTCACTTCTCTAACAATTTGACACGATACAGTGAGACAAGCAAATCAGTTGTATATGCTTTGATATAGTGAAACAAGAAACATAATGAAAAATTGCATCAATAAGAGTATATGTAGTATGAAGGCTACAATAACATGTTACAACCAAAACATAATATGGAATTTCTGATTTGAAGTCGAAGTATTATGACATGTGAAGTGTGTAGACCGTAGTGTAGAGTACTGATATAGTGTCCAAATTATTAATATTTAATATTTATAAAGGGTATAGTAGTAACTTACTATCATCTTAATGAGCTATCGGTTTACCCAATAACTCAATACTAAAAATCGATACCAAATCGATAACCCAATATTTTTTTCTTATAAAAACATTAAAAATCCATTTACCCAATAACATTTTTTCACTTCGATTTATTGGTAGGATCGATTGATTGCACACCACTAGAAGGGAGTACTAAATAGCCTATTTTAATCAATTGCTGCCTTTCCGAGTCACCCCCTTCACATTTTTATAACCTTAAATAAACTATTCATTTTCCCACTTTTATTATTCCAAATCCTATTCCTACTGCATTGATTTATTTATTTTTATTATGTCTCCACTTATATATATATTTTTTTTCATCTGTATAATATATCTTTGTTTTTAGAATAAAAAAAATCCCTTGTTGGATACTGTTGCTTCCATGGAAGCCTCACCTTCCAGCACTGTAAAGAGTAAAAAATTGTCAAATACTAAGAAATTTTCAAAATCAAACTACTCTACTCATAGAAATAGTCCATTTGTCTGTAGGTGGTGGGGTTCTTTGTTCACTTGTTCCTATTTCTTTTATATATTTCTCTTTTTCTCCATTTCTTCCTCTTCCTCCTCCTTTGCTTCATCAAAACCCTTACTAGCCACTCCACCGACGAAACACCTTTATAATACTGTTGATTCAACTCCGACCCAGAAAAATACATTTTACGATAACAGAGTTTTTGTTGTTATTTCAGTTTTGGGTGTTTTGTTGTTTGTTTGCTTTGCTTTAATGGCGTTGTTTAAGTGTTTGGGGTTCAAGTTAAGGCGGCGGGGTGGGGGTAGTGATGCTAGGGTTACTGGGGATTTGGAAGAAAATGGGGATTCGAAGAAATTAGGGGTGAAGAGGCTATTTACTTGTGATGAAGTAGAGAAATTCACTATGAATTTATCGAGGTCGAGGTTGATTGCTTATGGAGGATTTAGCACGGTGTATTTAGCCCAATTTCCAGATTCAATGCTTGCTGCTGTTAAAATCATGGATTTAAGCTCTGAGCGATTTCAGAGAGTATACAAGCAAGAATTAGACATTTTGCTGCAAATCCAACACGAAAACATTGTGAAATTTCTGGGAAATTGTGATAACGGAGAAGAAGGTATGTTAGTGTTTGAATATGTTCCTAATGGAACTTTACAGGAGAAATTGCACGGCGTTGATGGTAGAAAATCACTTTCATGGAGAAACCGTATGGCTATAGCATTTCAACTTGCTAAAGCCATAGAATATCTCCATGACAAATGCCCACTCCCAATAGTCCATGGCGATATCAAAGCTTCAAATATTTTACTAGACAAGAAATATAACTCTAAGCTCTGCGATTTTGGGTCAGCAAAAATGGGATTTTCTTCCACAATTTTACCACCATCAGCAAATCGAATGATGCTTGGTTCTCCAGGATACACAGATCCTCATTACTTGAGAACTGGCATTGCTTCAAAGAAAAATGATATATACAGCTATGGCATAATTGTTCTAGAATTAATTTCTGGATTCGAAGCACTTTCATCAGATAATGGAGAAAGATTAATATCAAAAGCTGGAACTATATTAAGGGATTCTTCTAAAGTTGCAGAAATGGTGGATTCAAAGCTTAATGGAGTTTATGATTTGGAAGAAGCTAAAGCTATGGTGTCATTAGCTGGATTTTGTCTTGGTGATTCACCAAGCCTTAGGCCTTCTGCTTCAGAAATATTGGATACAATAACAAGTAAAATTTCTTCAATGTCTTTTATGGTTTCTCATGATCAAAAAAGTTAAAAGATTGATAATTACTAGTATTATTAGTATCTTTAAAAAGATTGAATAACTAATATTGTCACTTTGAGTGTGATATATGATTTAGGTGAAATTTCTGTAAATTAAATATGTATAGAGTGGTTCTGTTTTTTTTTTTGTTTGCAAAAAAAAAAAGGAGTTTATACTTAGTACTCATAGTGCAATCAATTCAGTTCAAGCAATTCCATGCTTGAACTTTGGAATTTGAATGGTTAGTTTTCTTCGGCTCGTTTGTTCTTATTTACTTGTTAAATATTTTCTAATTATTTTTTTTTTACTTGTTATTTTTGAATTATTATTTTTTTTCATTCATTTTTTTTGTTTTCTGTGCTACAAATTTATGGGGTGTAATTGCAGTTGTCAACAGTTAAGTTTTTTGAGTTTTCCAAGGTCTTCCAAGTCAATCTTGCAGGTTTACATTAATGGGAGGGCACAATGTCCCTGACACATGATTATTCAACTAAATCTGTAACTGACCTAATAGTCAATAAAAACTGATTGAAAATGATGAGGTCTTTGAGATTTAAATTTTTGTAGATACTAGTTTCATTTTAGTTCGAACCATTGATAGTGTTAAAAATATTTTTTTATTTAATTAATTAAACGTAAAATATACTTTCAGTTTTGTAACAAGAATGAAATACACTCTTAAATTCTCGCCAAATTTAGAAGTGTTTTCAGCAGTTTTCTAGATTTTTTATTAAGATTTACTTGCTCCTACAAGAATTTAAGACCATTTTTTGTTATGTCATGTGACGGATCAAGGGTGTCAGTGGGTTCTAAGTTTAGTTAATCAAATAGAGCTGTGTTTTTAAGGGTGTCAGTAGTTCGAAGACAATACTAATAAATTACGTCGAATTTAGGAGTATTTTCAATACGTTTCTCTTTTTTCATTTGTTCAAGTTTTGGTAGATAGAATCATACTTGTGAAAGATGGTAAATATTTGGTAAAATTACTCGAGATATAGTATTTAAAGATATAACCTAGTAATTAATAAACTGATTGAGAAACATGAAATATTCCGTTTATATCTCAATAGAAACAAAAAAAAAACATTGAATGATTTCTCTTGTATTTTATGAAATTAGTCGAAGTCTGAGCAAATTAACTCGAAACACTACAATTAATTCGAAAAAAAAAGAGGTGTTCTTGACGCATCATAAATTACGTTCAAGAGAAGTGACCCCCAAAAAGGGAGAAAAATGGCTCCTAATCACATGATGGGAAACCACAACTATTTTATTAAAGATTCGTAAAGTAAAAGGCTAGCACGTTTATTATGTCTTTTAAGGCTTTTTAAAGCATCTAAAAGAATAATTTATATTATCAGCAAAATTATAAGGCCAATTGGATTATACCACTACGCCAAACTTTCAGCCATTGCTCAATGCAAAAGCCAATGTCCTTGCTTCTACTATAGAGTTCGGAGCAGACGTAGTAATAGAATCAGAAATTTTATTTCCAAATATGTTATAGAATTTGGGATTGACATTGACGAAATCAACATAATTCAAATAATGTATCTTACAAAATTATGTTTTGTTGTTCGCCTATCGATAATTTCCTAAACTAGACCTGCTTAATCTATAACAGAATGTATAATCCATAAATATCTAAAATTATCTAAGTGGAAATAGCTTTCTTGTCATTCAATGAGCATCTTGTAATTCATAAAAATTGGAGGCAATATAATCCTTATGTAAGGGCCATCCTATCTAACTTTCAGGCACTAAGATACGTTGCAAGCATGGATGATTATCATAAGAGATTCCCAAAATATCATATGATTCTCATTCGTGAAAATTTATTCTTAGAAAACAGACAGAGATCAAAGAGAATTCAGTTGAACCCTTTTCCAATAAGCAACTCTCCAACTCAAAGCCTAGTGTAACCGTACCATGTGTTTATATATGTTAAAGTCTACTATTGTCTTAAGTTAGAAGCCTAAATTTGCATTTTTTTCCCATGTGGGGGACCTTAGGTTAGGCAAAGGCATGTGTTAACATTAGATGAGCAAATAGTAAAAGCTTTTACAGCTCTTCTATACAATAATTGACAGTAGGTACCACTTCAAATGAGCTGCCTCTTGATTTCGACCACTTATTACTTCATCCACTTTGAATATGATTTTATAGAACGATAAGCAAAGCTTGGACCAGGAACTTTTAACAACGCATTATGAGGCTATTGGGAAATGAAGAAGGAACTAGGATCAGATATGTGCGGGTTGAAAATAGGTTAAGACAAAAACGATCAAACACCTGACCCACCTATATTTAATATGGGTAAACAATGCATTAAATGCATGATGATGTAGATATTCATATAAGTTGTGATGGTCCGATGTTTGAATATATATGTTTCTTTCACATTAAAACATGTATATGTATACAAACATGGTCTTTTATGTTTGAAAAAAGAAACGATAGGGCGGAAGAGTTGAGGAGGAGAGAATTCACATTACAAAATAGAATTTTCCTTTACTGTGTGTGTGTTTTTTGGGTGGAGTGGCCGGGGGGGAGGGGGGGGGGTATGAGCTATTTGATCAGCCAGAATCAATCGGAAACAACCTCTCTACCCCCAAAAGGTAGGGGTTAGTCTATAAGCATGTCACATTCTCCAACCCTTGTGGAATTACACTGGATATATTGTTGTTGTTGTCTGTGATCGGCTAGAATACAAGTAACTACAATGCACAATTCTAATATGCAATTTCGAATCGACTAGAGGAAATAGTGAAAGAAGGTAAAATTAAGATGATACAATGGTCATTTTTCTCTGGTTCCAGTTTACACATTTATTTTCTTGTACAACTTCTGGGAATTGGAGTGGAACTAATACACTTTTGGCATTCTATGTAACTGCAGCAGACAGTGCAGATTACTTACAAAGGAGAAACACAATAATCATTGCTGAAATAACTTCAAATCAAATTTCAACTACCACACACTGTTCTATCTAGACACCTATCACTAACTTTAGTGAAGAGCTTAGGGGTCTGAAACACCTATCACTAACATGAGTGAACAGCTTAGGGGTCTGAATCACCTATCACAAACGTGAGTGAAGAAGCTTAAAGTAAATGTGCATTAACACTGCCTTCTTCGTTTCAGACGAGTACCACTTGGAGGTTGTTGTTGAAGGCTCGATGAAGGGGAGTAACTAATGTCAGGCACAAACACTGCAGAGTCGAATGGATTCTGGTAAGTTTTGGACCAGTAAAGTCCAGAGGCCGTAGGTGGGGAAGGAACTTGTGGCACTGCCCAAGATGTGTCTGGCACCTGACCCAAGCACTCATCACCATCTAGTTCTTCATCTTCAACTCTTAAGATTGATGAAGAGTCTGACTCTCCACCAAGCTTGCCATTATCCGCCTGATAGATTTTAATGCAGGAACTAATTTAGAAGCCATTGAACATAATCCCTGTGCAAATTATTGATTATCTAGGTATATCCATGCATTCTACTTATAGCAAAGAGGCAAGCGATAGACTGAATATTTCCTTTGGGAAAATGAAACAGTCATTGCTGTCAAACTCTTGAATAAGATACCTCAGCCAACATGAATCCCCACCTTTGACTACAGTCATATCAAGCAAACATATGTTCGAAAATGTATCCTCATATACTAAGCACCCATAGAAACAATAATGTGACTGACATGAAGGCATATTTTCTGTAGTATGAATGCCCAAAACAAAAGGGCACGATGCAATAACTAAAGCTGCTTCTTTTTTGTCACAACCCTAAGCAAGGTTGTGATCCAGCCGCATGCTAATAATAATGTGCGCTTTAGAATGTCTATATTGAACACTAATCGAGACTCGGAAGTCCAAGCATTTGAGTGGCCCAAATTTACTTGGCGAAGTGCAAGATAACCAATATGGTAATACTCCAACAATCTTTAGCACCTATGAGTTTGTCATACGAAGGGGAAGGGCAAGTTCATGGCAAAATGTCTGTCCAATCAAAAGATTGAATTGGGGCTAACAATATATACATAAAGTGGTCCTACCAACAGATAATCCAACCATAAACTCATTTTTCCAGTTCCATGTCTTCAGATGAAGATTATTCTCTGGTTTCTTGTTGGGGAAAATACAAGCTTACGACTTAAACCCATAAGTATAGATAACAGAGCATGCATGCCACACAAACTGTGCTGGCAGGAATAGACTCCATCAGGGATTTTTCTCTTTTGGATGATAGTCCAATACAACCACGTCCAGCTAAGGAGATATCAGAATTACAGATGCAGTCCAAGATATTCATGAAAGGTAAGATGTAAACCATACCTCAAATAATCAGTCATCCATTCCATACTTCTGATTAAAATGCAGTCCAAGAAATTCATCTAATTTCAATTGTGAAATACTACAAACAACAACTACTACAACTTAAACCGTACCTTAGATGATCCATCATCCATGTATCCAAAATTTTGATTGAAATCACCCAGACCAATAAATTCATCGAACTGCCATTGGGGCATACTTCCAGCTGCAGAACCTCCAGCAAATGGAGACTTAGTAGGAGCAAAATCCCCAACTTCACTAGCCTGGGTAGGTAATACTTTGTTAAATTGAGCATCCAATGATACTGGGGCATTTCGTTTAGAAAGTGGAGCAGACTCTGGCTCAGAAACCTTCTGAATGGACAATGACGTCCCTGAGGATGAAATACCACCAGGATCAACAGGTTCAAGTCCTACTTTCACTCCAGTCAGCAAAAATCTTTGGTGAGCTGCAACATGAGGATTAGCTGTGTGAATAGCAATATCACATTTTCGGCAAAGTAATGCCCGATCCTCAAGACAAAAGAAATAGCCAACTGTTTCCTGCGCAAATAGAATCCTTTTTATCAATACTTAGAATAGTACGGCCGTAATAAACTGGAGATCAGACCAATTTAAAAAAAGAAAAAAAGAAATTGACAGATAAATAAACATGAATTATATACATCTAAAGTCACACTGAAGCACAGAAGAGAAGTGACTTCCATTAGAAGGTAGCAAAATTTCACAAACTTGGGAAATAACTGCTTTTGGTCCACAAAGTGAAAGGAAAATAAAAACCTTAGCCATCAAATCAAATCTCCAGAGGAGAAAGATGCAATCACTTTCACTAAGCCAAATGGTAACTTACAGTGGCGGATCCAGAATTCGATGATTGTGGGTGCTCAATTCTTTTAACAAGCCAAAAAAAAATTCTTTCTAGAAGTTTACTACTAATATTTTTATAATTTAATTAATAAATGAAATACAAAAAATAGGAAAGTGGAAAAACAAAAAGAAATATAAGCATAATTTTGAAAAAGAAGTCAAGAAGTTTCTTTTGGCCTTTTTTCAACAAAAATATAGATGTTGTCGTAGGGGCTCGAACCCTCAATGAAGGGCACCAGCGCTCCTAGAATCCTACTTCAGAACCACAGCGCCCATGGAACACTTTGTTTAATGGGTGCTGAAACAAACATTATATAACATTTTCAGTATTTTCTATACACATATAAAGTTTCCGTCGGGGTCAATGGGTGCTCGAGCACCCAAAACTCTACACGTGGGTCCGCCCCTGGTAACTTATGTTTCATGCGACTGTGTGAGTCCAACTAATAACCACAAAATCCTTAAGGTGATTAATATCTACAATTACAATAGAATAAAAGGCCAGTAATGTTCATGATTTGATATCATGAGCACTCCAGATGATTGCGTAAGCATTATAACAATCTGAACAGGCACAATTAATCCTATGTGATCCTAAAACTTTCGACCTCTAACTGAGCTTCTATATGCTTTTTAAAACATGGAGCTGCATCCCCCTAAGAGAAGTGTTTTTTTCTTCTCTTATTTCTTTTTAAAAAAAGAAATTATATTTTGAGGATTGGATCCCCCCTTAGAGCAAAGGTGTGGGTTGCAAAAGCTAACAATAGTTTTCTGTCTATGAATATTCATAATTATGAACTGGAGAACAGGTTATGGCTAAGACTCCAGATTAAGGTTTCTGCTTTATAAGAGGGTAAATGCACCATCACCTCACCTTCTCCCCCATCCCAAGACCTCTTTTTTCTCCCTTTTTTCAATAAGGTAAATAACTAACGGAGACTGGACTCAACCTCAGTATGTTTTTCCTCATCAGGAAAAAGTGAACAATAGACGATCCTTAACCATGAACCCTTATGTGAACAACAAGTAATCATAATGGGTGTTCCTTCTTGATATGTGTAATACACTGGTTCTTCTGATGATCACATGCTTGAACTGAATCCTATCATTACATCTCGAATTCCAGTTTTATTCCTATAACATGGGGCACTCGATAATGCATTTCAGTATATCTTATATACAGATGTTGAGAAACCTCTAAGCAGAAAAGTACGAATCTATCACCTCTTGCTTCCTTAATCTCTTGCCCAAAAGGACTGCCAAATAAGGGAAACAGGTACTCCATAGTTTAACATTAAGAACCTCTAGATGAGCCCTCCACATGCCATATGCAAACCATATCCTACATTAATTTCCATGAATCAGCAGCTTTTCATGGAACCATAACCAAACAAGAAGGCAGCAGAATATTTAACTTAGACCTCCATATATCCATTCGTGAACAAGATCTGCATATCTTCATAATGCACGCAGGAAGGAATACCCCTAATCTCCTTTCTTTATTTTGTTCTTTCCTTCTTCTTTTGTGGGTTTCCTTTTTATTTTCTGAAGGGGAGGGGTGGGAACATCAAGGGAAGCAAAGACCAAATATGCAATTTCTACTGAACAACATGATTAAAAGAAATTAGATTTGCACCTAGATATTAACTTTACTTGCATATCTTTCCACAAAACAAAAAAATTAGTTCAGTAGCACACGAAATTTAAGACACATAAACAGTAGTATCAGGCATGTAGTGGCTAACTGGGTTGTTAAACGTCATTTTTAGAACATAAAAAATGCCCGAACAACAAAGGTGGAGTACAATGATCTCGTTGTACAAGAACAAGTGATATATACAGAATTATGACAACCATAGGGGTATCAAGTGGCAAAGTTACACTACGAAAATTTGGGAGACGGTGGTAGAGATGAGGTGAGAAGGGCTGTGTCAGTATAGGGAGAGGAAGATGGACATACATATGGTGTTCATTAACCTAGAAGAAACGTACGACAAAGTCCTAAGGAGGTTGTGTGAAGATGTTTGGAGGGTAGAAGTGTACCCATAGCTTACATTAGGGCGATTAAGGACAGCTACGGTGATGCCAAGATCTGGGTACGGAAGTGGGAAGAGACTAGGAACACTTTCAAGTCACGATGGGATTGCACCATAGATCAACTCTAAGCCCCTTTTTATTTGTCTGGTGATGGATGAACTGATGCAACATATCTGATGGAGGTGCCATGGTATATGCTATTTGCAAATAACATAGTATTGATTGAATAGACACACAACGGAGTTAACGGTAGGCTGGAGGTTGTAAGACAGACTCTGAAATCTAAAAGAAGGCTCAAGTTGAGTAGGACCTACACATAGTGCTTATAATGCAAGTTTCCCTTACAAGTATCATTTTTATTACTCCCATACTAGCTTAGTCTATGATTTTATTATTACATATTGCTTTCTTTGCCTCAATCATTGATATTATTTATTCCAACAACTGTTCTTTTCTCCTTTATTTTCATCAAGACTTCTTCATCACTGTATTTTCATCCACAATATCTCTGCCTTCCCAAGATAAGAGTGAAGCTGCATACACACCACCCACAGACGCCACTAGTGGAATTACACTAAGTAATGTTCCTATAAACAATAGTATCACCAAACTATCTATCATTAACTTATACTACAAAAAAACAAAAAAGTCAAAAATACAACTTTATCCATGTCAAATTGATGCTACTCCAAAACAAATAAAAATAAATACAACTTACGCAGCTGAATCATTTACAATATCAACATAATCCATTCAAAATTCACCTAACATTCCAACACTTTACAAGATGAGTATACCTGGCAGATGTCACACATAGGCATAGATGAAGAAGAACCAGACAGAGGAACTCTCTGATGTTTACTAGCAAGCTTATTAGCAGCATGAACCTTCTCATCACACGACCAACACAGCGCCGCCTCATCGGCGCAGCACAAAACGTTCGCCTCCGCAACCTCACAAACGTTACACTGAATCTTCATCACTTCTTCAGCAAACTTTAGCAAGAAGATCTATGGTTAATATTGACAAAAAAGGAGAAAGCAAAAGATCTGGAAGTTGCAAGTAGGTGGGTTTATGCAGTAAATGAACCAAATAACGGTGCCTGGAGTGAGTGGGGAAATGGAATTTTTGATTTTTTAGTATTTGTACTGTTGGCTTTCTTAGAAATTTGGGGGAAAATAAAGAAATGGTTGATTTTGAGAGAACGTGTCGGGTTTACAATGGTGACCCGCTGAGCTGGATGTGGGTACCGTTGACGATTTTATTGAGATTTCGTTATATAATCCTATAAAAATATCAAATGGTTCAATAACAAGACAAGAATAATATCCATTAGAATATTTTATCCTAAAAAGATTTTTTTTTTTTTTTATAGAAGCCAAAACAAAGATTATAAGTTAGATATTATCTATCTAAAGAGTCAAAATGAAGTACTAAAGTATAATATCAAGGAGTTTTTTTTTCTTTTTTAATGAATCGGAACGAAAAATGACTGAGTTTCAATAGACTTTGCTATTTGCAAGTTCAATAACGTGCTTAAGTTGGTTGCAAAAAAGTTTTTCCGATTGATGGAATTTATACCAAAAGATTTGATATGGTAATGATTGGTGTTGAAATAGCAACTTTTTAGATTTTAAAGTATTTACTCAAAATAAAAAGTGTGTGATTCTTTTTACTCATTAGTATAGTCGTATAGGTATCGAATGATTTTGTGCACCAAAATTTGAATAAATGAGAAATCATTACTTAATATTTTTATTTATGAAATTTGAACTTAAGATATCGTACCCTACTATCGATCCTTAGATACACTATTATGCAATGATATTATGAATAACAGTAAAAATAATGAGGGGATGATGTGGAGTAGTTTGTATAGTTGTGGGGAGGCCAAGGAAGCCCCACATATGTATATCATAAATTCACCCTTTCCTATTAAACATTATCGAAAATAATTTAAGAATTTTTATAATGGCAATGAGATTTTGTACATAAGTCTCATTTATCCCTCAATAGGTCTGTTTGAACCCGACTTGAAAATTAATTGATTTGGAGTTGAAATTATGTTTGAATATGTAAGGGAAAATGCATAAGTACCTCCTAACCTATGCCCAAAATCCCTAAGACACACCTAACCTTTACTAAGGTCCTATTACCCCCGAACGTATTTTTTAATTAATTTTCTACCCCTTTTCGGCCTACGTGACACTATCCTTGAAAAATTGGCAACACGCGCTGGGTCCACAAGATAGTGCCACATAGGCCGAAAAGGGGTAGAAAATTATATATAAAATAAGTTCGGGAGGTAATAGGACCTTAGTAAAGGTTAGGTGTGTCTCAGGGATTTTGGGCATAGGCTGGGGGGTACTTATGCATTTTCCCAAGTAAATTTCTTATGTCCTACTAATAAATTGTGCAAGTGGTATGATCTACAAGGTCACATATAATATCTAATGTCCTTGCTAAAATGAAGTTGATTTTTTTTTTGTTTCTCAGTCATGTGTCCGAAGCTTACACTGAATCGCCGACTAAATTTAGATCGTGCATTGTAGGGCCCATTTGGAGGTGGCGTTCCTAACAGAATTTTATTTTATCCATACTTAGAGCTCAAACTCGAGATCTCTAATTAAGGATGAAGCAGTCTCATCACTACATCATAACGGTGAAGTTGATTCTTTGCTAGTGGAAGGCAATAGCTTTGATGAAGCCGACACGCAATTTAGTGTGGATGCCAACATAAATACCTCGTTACTTTTTTATGTTCAATATCTATCATCCTACTTTTAATGTTTTCTCTACTATGGCTTGCGTGTGTTTGTCACAACCAGTGAATTCATATTTTTCAATATTGCAATCACTAAGATCTTCAATGCCATTTGACATTTAAGATCCCCTCCCCACCCACCCCAATATACACATATTTTTCATCAAGATATACAAAAAGAAGAAAAATATCACAAGTTGTATAAAAAGGAAACTTTATATAGTGTAGGGGACTTATCCCTTGAACAACTTGAGTAATGGGAGAATGACAATTGAATCTTGCAGTGGTAGAACCCCATGAACTTTTCATCTTATGAAATTTCTAGTGAGATTGAAAAAAAAAAAGAATGGGATAGTGAGTCTTCGTACGGCAATTATCATTGTTAATGGACTCGAACTTAAGAGTGTGATCTATTTATGAATAGGATGAAAGTGAAAATCAAGGGAAAATTGCATGAAATAGCAAACTATTAATTCAAATTAAATGCTATAGTCATAGTTAATTTTATTTGTAATTCGCAGCAAACATCCCATTGTTTTGTCATTTGATTCGGTATACAATTAGCCATTTTATATATTTCGGTATAAAATGTATAAAATGCATTTGTGTTTGTATAAAGCGAGAGAAAAGTGTATATACAAATACAAATACATATATTTTCGTCCTATACACTTATAATTATATAAATACAGATTTTATTATACAAATTACAATGTATAAATGAATTTATACAAAACTGAACAATTTGTATAAAATTATATGTATCTAGCGAATTATACAAATCAAAAGCTCCATAGCAAACATAAAATATGTTATGAAGCACAATTATGCAAACTATAGTTATAACATACAAATATGATTTTTATGTTTGCTATATGTGAAAGTTGCTCAAAAATCAAAAGGGGTTCCTTATTTGTAGTATTTCTATCTATTATTTGGGTGGTGTATAATTCTTCTATTTTACTGTATGAAATTTCAATGAATTAGATCTATAAGAACGCTGCACAAGCTTATGTTCGATCTCAATGGAAAAACATCATTTAATTAGCAAGTTACAGCAAAAAAATCTTAAACCAAATAGAATGCTTGTTTTCTCAAATATGCCAGTGTCTATGCATTGAATACCAATCTTCAATGCCAGAATTCTCAGAGCAAATTCCCAATCGGATTTTCTTTATGTGTATGTAACTAACTCGAAACCTAGACAAACCTCGTAACGCCTCCTTAAGGAGGACTCAACTCGGACACCTCAATGTTCATACTAAAACAATATGATAAGTCTAAAAGCGTCAACTAGAAACTACCTCTTTTGCATGCTTAGAACTGCTTTGAAATGTGATCCACATCTCCTCGTAATAGTGTTTCTGGAGTTCCAAGTCTAGAGAGCAGAATCCTAAGGCACAACCGTCTTCCCTGCAGGCCTTTGAGCTGAGAAATTGTAAAACTGTCATCATCTAGCTTTGTGCACTAGTACGAAAAGGTTGCAAGAGTTAAAAGGGAGAATCTGCCAAACCCTTACACCTTCATGTAAGCAAATTTACAAGAGTTCAATTCTGTTATGTACTCTCATGATATCAAGTGAGATGGCAAGAAAACTTTCAATTTTGGAGCTTTGGAAGAGAGTTCAATGATATCCCCATGTTGAACAGAGTGAATAAGATGAGAGCCATCGATATAAATCTGCCCTTCTTTGCAATACCATGCAATCTCCATCAACTCCTCAGGCTTCACAGTACCGTTCATCAGGCTATTATAAGCTCCAGGAGAAATGGGTTCTCTCACTATATACTGGAGATCTTGGGACAAAATTGGCATTGCAAATCCACCAGTTGAAAGCATTGCAGCTGTTGACCCAGCAGCTGTTGACACTCTAAGTCCACTTGATCTGCAATGCACCATAGAAGAAGAAGACTGGTCCTCTTTCATTTTACTGTTAAGAGAAAACATCATTAAGCACCTACCTCAACGCAGCATAGATGGACAGTATGCTTCATATGCTACAACAAATAAAACCTTCACCTGAATGAGAATCGAGACACTGTAGCAGGGCAAGGATGGCAAATTAAAATATCATTTAATGCGTAAGTCGGAAGTTGCTTTGAGTTGAGAGTGACTGACATCCTTGAGACTTCAGAAGGTCTAGCATGATTTTCAAGGATATCATCTATTATCTGCAACAAAAGGTTTATTAGTTAAGACCTTGGGCAGCTTCCTAAATCAAGAGTTGTGGCAGCATCATGGTGAAAAAGTTGCGTCCTTATGGGAAAGTGAATATGCTACTGTGAGCATGAAATGATTCATTTTGTTGGGAGTCACCCCTTTAATATACATAACTCCACATGAGAAGAAGCTAACATCACTCCAGCTGAAGCAAGTCAGTATAAACGAGCTAGTTAACCGTTATAATGACAGCCTGATCCCCCTACCAAAACTAAAACAAGACCATGATACAACTAGGGTATATGTAGGGACATCATTGTGTTGAAGCAGGCTGTTTCATGACTTTGAACCAGGATTTGCGCTTTCTGATCCCCATACACATTACTCGGTGGTAGTCTAAAATAAACAAGTTCTTATGCTTTTATAAACAAGATCTTTTGGAAACTTAAAATGCACAAGTAAAAGCTAGAGAAGAAAAAACAACTTTATTGCTCTTTTTAAGGGTGAACCATAATCCAGTGTGGGAGAACCATAAAAAAAACTATTAAAGGACAAAGTAATTGTACATGACTATAATTCCAGACAGTTTGAACAAATCAGTAGTTCTATTTTTTCCTCAAATAATAAAATAAAATACACCTCAAGGTTATGGGGCTCATTGCCACTGGAGCCAAGTCTCACTGGTCATAGAAAGACTAACTAAAACAAACTTTAGGCGCCAGAAAACCAACCATTTCGACTGCACACTAAACTTGTATCAATAACTATAAGCATACACTTGAATTTACTCTGACATACTATTATTCAACAGTATTTTCACACATAAAACTAATCATGAGTAATCATACGAAGTCATTAGTACATTTATGGGAAAACATAAATAATAAGTAACGAAGTCTCACTTGTTCAAAGTTCTTGACAGTTGCCGCACAAAGATATCCTGTACTCCTTGTAGCGTCAAATTCTTCATTGTAATCTTCAACCTAAACACATAAGAAGTGACAAAGCAACTTGAAATAGAAGTCATCACAGGTAGACTTGAATATGGATTCTGAAGAAGCTAATAGCCACAAAACATAAACAACTGCAAAACGAGCTAACCTCTTCTGCTTGAGTTGGGTCAGAATTTACTCCTAGAACAGGAATGGAATCATCCATAAAATGGCTTGCCTGCAGTAATGTACCATCTCCCCCTATTGTAACTACTAAATCTACATCACGGAT